TCACAGGTGGGAGGAGCACTGGGGAGCGAGCTCAGCCCGGCATCCAGCAGCCCCACGAGTGCGTACCTTCGTCTCCTGGTTGTTCTTATTCTCAATACCATAGATCTCCTGCAGCAGGTAGCTGACCCGGTCCACCTGGAGAGCAGAGGGGTGTCTGGGCATTTGCCCACCACCCCACCCCCACCAAGGGCTCCTCTGCACCCACCTGGCCCAACACCCTCTCCTGGGTGCTGGGTTCAGGTCCTGGGGCAGGCGTGGTTGGCAACCCAGGGAGCAGGTATCACTGGCGACGGGAGGGGAAAAGAGCCATCTGCCCCGCCCACAGGCAGCATGGGCACTGGGCTGGGCCAGGGGTCTGCGCACTCCAGAGGGCCTGGAGCCAAGCCCTACACACTCACCTTACCCAGCCTAAGCCTAGAGGAAAACCACTTTGGACCTGTCACCAGCCCCACGGGAGTGACCAGAGCCGGGCCTCACACTGACTGTGTTCAGAAGTGGTCTGAGCTACTGTATTTATTACAGTTCACAGACCACAGACATCCGTCCTGACAGCCACAGCCCTGCAGGTCAGCTCTCCTGACACCAGGGTCCTGGCTATCACGGGGGTCTCTGGCCATCACGGGGGTCTCTGGCCCTCCTGTCACCCCCAAGAGCTGGATCTGCCAGAGTTCTCTTGACCTCTCTTTTAAAAAACTCACCAACATCATTCCTGGGTTGTGGCTGACACACCTGAGCAGCTTCACACAAGGACAACCTAATAATCACGACTTTTGAAACAGACCCCACTGTAGCCAAAGGTACAGCTCAGGGGACCCCATCCTCTAAACCCTCACAGTACGTAAGTGGGAGCCCACTGGGGATAATTCTTCCTGGTGTTGGACCGTGGGGATCACCGACCCCAGAAAAAGGCTGTACTGGTCTACAGCTCCCACTGCTTCCAAGATATCCCGTCCTTCCTCTCAAATATGGACTAAGTCAATCCAAGTCTGCCCCACACGGAGGTATCGTCAGCAACTTGTAAATAGGAAGAGGGGAGGCTGCAGCGTTTGTTTCTTGTTTCCTCTCTCCATCCGGCATTTGTTCATTCAGCAAACATTTACTGAACTCTCACTAAGTTCAAGGCAGACAAGACTCAGGGCCACAACAGTCAATGCAGGTACATGGCGGGTATGCAGGTGACCCTGACCCTGACTCTCGGAGCCCAGGGCCCACAGCGGCCGAGGTGGCCCAGGGAGAATAATCCACAGAGACTACTGGGTCATGTGTGCACGCGTACCTTTCACATCAAAAGGGCTCACAATGTTTCTTCTGAAGGACTTACAATTTGCTTCTGCTTTAAAGGCTTCACGGAGAAGCTTCCATCGACGTGCTGCAGGGAGAAAGACACAGAGGTTAACTCGGCTGCGCTGACGTCCTCTTCTCAGTCAACCCACAGCCACAGCTGAAAAAATGGAGGGGCTACAAGAAGACTCAGAGCAAGGCCGGGGTTTCTCAAGGTGTGGCTTCAAAACCACCCAGAGTCTTTCCAAGATATCGTCTCCTAGGTCCTACCCAGACCTAAAAAATCCAGCTCTCCCAGGCAGTTCCCAAGTACACTCAAGTTCACCACCATCAGCCAAAATCTGACGATGGACAGATGCTCCCCCAGAGGCAAGAAGCAGAGCAAGCCAACAGTTCTAGCCCTCCAAGAACTCCCCGGGCTAACGTGAACATGACACAAGGACACCGCACACCCATGCACAGAGGAAGGCCCGAGGCTCCAAGAGCCACGGGGACACGACAAAGCAGACCAGTCCGGGGGCATCTGGGAAGGCACCCGGCTCCAAGGCCACGCAGTTAGCCAAGGCACCAGATCTGCACTCTCGCTCACCAGCTACCCCTTCTGAGTTGATCAAGAACAACACTCAGAGTTTCCTGTGAGGCTGACGGTTCCGACGGATGTTTCTAGTGCGCTGCACTCCAAAAACAAGGCAGTTTCTCACTGAGCTCTATACCAGAGGCACAGAATGGAATGTCCGCCAGTGATGGCCCAATGCCTCGCCACAACACAATGATGGGGAAACAGTGACTGTCGCCTCCGACGAGGCCGAACTGGGGTGCCTGCAGCTGGCTAGCCCAGAAAGGGAGAGGGCCACCTCCACGCGGGCACTGGCGTCACCATGGCCCTGGGAGACCAGGGGGTGCACAGACCCAGCCTCGCCTGAGGGGACCCAGGCCCAGCTCTACTGATACTCTGGGGGATCCAGAAAGACCTGGATCACAGGGAGGAGCTGGGCTCTGTACTTCAGGCTCTCAGGGCTGCAGATACACACCAGGCCGAGGAGACCAGGGGTCGGCAGGACGTTCAGAACAAGTCTGAGCCTGGTCTCCTCACAGAGTCCTTGCTCCTTGTCCACCTGGGCTACAGGCTGGTGCTGAAAATACTTCACAACTGCAGAGCGCCGGCCAATGTCAAGGACCACTGCGGGGCTGGGGGTGGCACTTTCAGAGAGGGGAACATGCCCAACTGTGGCCAGCAGGGCTCTCGATGAGCAGAGATCCTGTCCCAATACAGCCAGGCACTCGCTCGCTGTGTGGACAGACACAGGGAACTCGCTGGCCCCCAGGAACAACAGTGTCAGCGAAAGGACTGTCCCTAGAACTCAAGATGCCCTAATGCAGAGCCAGCGGTGAGGCTAACCGTCCTCACCACCAACATCCCTACCACACATCATAAACATGACCACAAAACGTCAACAGCCAAGGGCCTGGGGATGCACGTCTACGTGGAAAAAAGGGGCAAATCCTAAGTTCAAACACACATAACCATAAAGGTAGTTGTAAGTGAAGCCTTTGATGTAAATGGCCTCTTTACATGCAGGGCATCCCCAGCTTGGGGACCTCAGGAGAGCCTGCATGTCTAGGGCCGTGCTAGGCAGATGGCAGACGCTCGTCCACCCCACCAGCATTCATGGGGCGCCTACTGCATGCAGGATACAATGACAAATGAGGGATCACCAGGATAGTAAGGGGCAGGGGGAACTTACCTTTTCAAAGGCGGCCAAGAGCACGTGGGCGTGGCCGGTCACTTCCACAACTGCCAGGAGAGAGGGGAGAGGGGTCAGAGCCGGCCCCTGGCCCCCCGCCCTGGGCTGCTTCTCTCCAGCATCTCTCCTTCCCCTGCAGGCAGAGTCCAGACCCACTGGAGGGCTCATCCTCATCTCGCTTTCCTCTGCCTGGGGGGCCCTATGGCTCCCTCCGACCCACACCTCACTGTCCCCCAGAGCTGCCACTGCTGACTGCCCACAGCCAGCTCTCACTCAGCAAACGGAGGGACCTCTCGGCGGTGCCAAGGAGCTGGGGGACAAGCCTGGGCCTGGCAGGGCTCCAGCATCTGTACCCTGGCCTGGGACCCCCAAAGCCCATGGTGGTGGCAAGGGAGAGATCAGCAGGACTGGCAGGAGGAGGAGGGGCGGGGAGGGATCCACCAGGCCAGAAGCAGAGCACAGGGCCCGGCCACTCCCTGCTGTCTTCATCACTTCCCTGCGGGGTGGACCCCAGAACCGGAGGCCTGTCTAGCTGTCAGCATGGCTCTGCCACAGTGGGAGGGGACAGGTTGGCTAGGAGTGCCTGAGTCAGGAGAAGAAGCTGGAAGGGGAGCTGAGAGGGCTCAGGGGCAGCGTTGCCCAGAGGGGACGGAGCGCTCGGTGCCTTAGCCCCACAGCCCCACACCTGCTTGTCGGGCTGAGCCAACGTCTTCCACTGTCTCTGGAGTGAACTGCCCCCGGCCGACTGATGTGAGAGGGGACTTGGGAAGTGGCCCCTCCACGTGGGTCCGCGTGCCCGGAAGGGAGAACGGGGGGAAGGCAACTCACCGTCCCCTTCATCCACCACGGCCTGGATGACCACTGGAAACACACCCCGGTCCAGGTCAAAGTTCAACTGAGGAGAAAAGCAGGCAAGAATGATCAGAGTGAGCAGGAGGCGTCGCGGTAACAAAGTGCTGAGGAAAGACAGATGCCGTTTTTCTTCTCTGCGGTAAAACAAATAAAAACGGCACATCTGTGATCTGAGATTCAGTGTCATGAGGTACATCCATTAAGGTCACGTGACCGTCAGCACCACGGTTCCCAGAACATCTCCGGCAGCCCTAGCAGGAGTCGGCATCCAGTCCCAGAGCCTCCACCCTGCTTCCTGTGCGGACTGGCCCCTACGGGATGTTCAGAGAAATGGGATCACACGGTACTGTCATCTGTGCCCAGCTTCTCTCACTCAGCATCACCAGGTCGCAGCCGCGTCCTCCTCCAGGACGAGCAGCACCCCTGCCCGGCCTGACAACGTCCATTCACCTGCCCACGGACACTGGGCTGCCCTGGGCTCTGGTGAGGGTTGCTGCCTGGGCCTGAGCCCGTTTTTGACTCTGCTGGGTCTACCCTGGGCATGGGTGTACTGGGTACCACAGAGATGCCGTGTTCAACCTTGTGAAGAAAGGTACCTGGCTCGACCCCAAACAATGACGAAAGGAAAGTGAAAAAGATCACATGGTTCGTCCGAGCTCACCCAGAAACCTCCTCTCCCTCTTCCTTCTCCTCCAGCTTAAAACCCTCGGGGATCCCTGCCAGCTGCAGGCCCCTCCCCAACCCACGTGTCCCCTCGGGCACAGCCTCCACGTCTGCTCACCCCGGGGCCCACGGGCAGGTCACACAGAGCCCATGGGGAGAGGTGCTCAGCCGAACACACCCGCCGTGGAGAAGATGCCAGGTAGGTCCCTGGCTGTCAGCGGGCAGCAGGGCCTGGAGAGGCCAGGTGCTGGGACAGGGCAGACTCAGCACTGCTGGCTGGGTTCGGGTCTGGCTCTACAACTCGAGCCTCAGTTACCCAATCCACATAAAAGGGACAGAAGTCATGCCTACACAAAGGCCCTGAGTGTGGTGCCTGGGAGAGCACGCGGTGAGCACCAGCCACTCGAAGCTGCGTGTGTTCAGACAGTGGCATCCAAGGAGGTGGGTGGCCAAGGAGGGAGGTGGCCGGGGAGGGCCTCGCAGGACCACACAGGGTAGGGCCTCCAGCACCCTTGACCTGGTGGGGACATGTGTGCATACAGTTACACACGGGGAGGTAGGGGACGTGTCCAGGCCTATCCAAGAACCACACAAGCCTGGGCTTGGGAGAGGAAGGGACCCCCTTTCTGTGCTCCTGCCTTGCTCTTCAGTGACCCACAGGGTTGTGGGAAATCACCTGAGACAGGAGTCACATGTCATCTATGACTATCCTGGGGACAGGGCCCCCTGCACGCTGTTTCTGCCCTCCCACCCTGCGTCAGGGCACATGGAGTGATCCTGCCGACGACCAATCCAACGTCACCCAGTGGTAACAATGACAGTGACACCCGGTGCAGCGCTCAGGCGCTGCCCTGAGAGGCTGTAACCGAGGGCAGGAGCGGCCTTCCGGGTGACAGAGCTGGAAGGGGAGCAGTGCCCCATGCTGTGCAGCCCCGCCGCCTGCGCTTCCACCGGTTGCTGGAACGTGGCCATCATCACGGACGTGGGCGGCCTCCTGCTCCGAAGAGCTGCTGCGTGCTTTGCCTTTTCTTTCTCCCGGGTTCGCTGAGTGTGGCCTCAGTGCCAGCTGACAGGGGGAGTAACAGACGTGGGTCTGGGGAGGAGTGATGGGGGCTCCACCAGCAGGCAGTGACCCCAGCCTCTCTTCTCCGGCCCCCTGGGCAGCAGGGTTCACAGCGGGGAGCCTGGGCTAACTGAGCCCTCTACACCCCTGCCGTGTGGACCTGGACAGCCAGCCTAGAGGAAGGGGCTGTTTCCACCTCCAGATGACAGATGGGAAAGCCAGGCTTGAGGAGGTGGCATAACTTGCCCGATGCTTCATGCACAGTGAGAGTCAGAGTAGCCTCCAGGCCTCGCCCACCTGTGCTCTCTCAGCTCCTGGGAAAGGCCACCTGGTACTTCTGTCCTCCAGACTTTTCTCATCAAGCCTGACCCAACACGGGCCTCCTGCCGTGATCTGTTCAAACCCTACTGAAAAAGCGCAAATGGCTGTTGTCTGCCTGCCCAGCATTCGAGTGCCCTTCTTAGGTGGCAGCACCCCAACTTTCCTTGGGAAAATCTGGGAACAACTCCTCTCCCACCCTGGGTCTATGTGGCCTGGCCAGGGGAACAGTACGCCCTTGTCTTGAGCGGGGCCTGGGACTGTCCACCTGAGCACTCTGGGATCCAGGCCAGGACCACACCCGTCACTCCACTGGTCTGCAGGGCAGCAGTAGCGTGTGGTCAGCTCAGAAGCAGTACACCTGTCCTGAAGACACAGGCCCCTGGAGGACACCACAAGCCATCCAGCTTTTTCAGAACCTATGCCAATAAATTCCTGGTTTTCTTAAGCCAGACTGAGGTGTTTCTGTCACTTGCAATCAGAAAGGTCCTGACACAGACGCTGCTTTGAAGGCTCTATTGCAGCAGCCTTCCAGGAGCCTCCCGCGAACAGTGTGGACCACGTGTCATCCCAGAGCCCAGGGCAGCACCCCACACATGGCATTCGTTCAGCTGACTCTGTAAACCCAGTGGATGACTACACTGGTTGACCCAGTGCTGGGCCAAGAGACAGAGGTGGAGATGACAGGGGCACCATGACCCCAGCTCTCCCTGGACATCAGGACGGTCCCCACCAAAGAATGACCAGGACCCAAAGGAGCACCGAGCCTGAGAAACCCTGGGATAAAGAGAAACCTGGGTTTGAATCCAGAGTGTCCACCAGGTCTCAACCACCTGCCAACACCCTCTTCAACGCCCTCAGCAGGCAATGACATCATGCCAGGACGTAACAGCACTGGTCTGCTCTCCGTAAGCTTAATTTCTGGAACCTTCTATTTATGGCAAAGCTTAGCAGTTTCCCAGCTATAGGAATGACTAATGACGTTTCCATTTAAAAATACCCGCAACAGAGGGAGGAAGGGGAGTGACTGCTTAATGGGTGGGTGCAGGGCTTCCTTCTGGGTGATGAGAATGTGCTAGAATGGCACAGTGGTCATACACTGTGAGTGTACTGCATGTCACTGCGGTTCCACTGCAGTAAAAAGACACATGTAACAGAAACTGAGCTGGTTTCAAGAACACATTAGCTGAGGTGATACTCAAGAGAGGGCAAAGACGAGGACAGGGTCCTGGGATAACAAGGCTGGATAGGCCCAGGGTGGCGGCCCGCCAGCCCCATTGCACCACACACTGACAAGTCAGGGATGCGGGCTCCCTGATGCACTGAGGCAGGAAAGGGGGTGCCCCTATGCAGCACTCAAGACGGGCTTACGAGTCAGGTAGGCCCCCAGGACAAGGGACCCAAACCATTGGCTTGACTCAGTACTTCTGCAAATGTACAGGGGGTCTGTTTCAGGGCCAAAATGCCAAGAGACTGGACTATACAGAGGTCACCAAGCTGAGGTGCAGCCTCAGCCTGGCCACCCCACAGATCACCAGGGGCAGGAGCACTCACTTCCCTGCCCTCCCAGCCCCCATCTCCCTCCCCATTCACGGGAGGGTGGGCGGGACCAGACACACCTGCAGGGCATCTGAACTGGTGGTGCCCACAGGGATGGGACCATCCTGACGGCACAGGGCTGCTGCACAGAGCTGCAATGACTCCAACGACAGCTCTGCCTCTGACTCCAATGACCGCACACCTTCCCTGAACACCCAATATTCTCCCCGAAGTAACACAGAGGTGGCTTCTGTTGCTCAACCAGCAAGCACACACGGCCGGGAGCAACCACCAGGGTGAGGCCTTCACGGCTGATGTCCCCGTGACCCAGAACCTACCACACTACACCATGCCCCGCTACCTCCAATCCTTCCCCCTCGCGTATTTTAGTAACATAATACGTGACTACCTTTTACTAAAAAAAAAAAGAAGAGAGAGAGAATTCAGCCAGGTGAAAGAAGCCAGACACGAAAGGTCACATACTGCCTGATTCCATCCACGTGAAATGTCCGGAACAGGCAAACCTATGGCGACAGAAAGCAGACTAGAACCAGGGGCCGGGGGTGGGAGCAGGGATTAACTGTCACTGGGCACGAGCGATCCTGCCGGGAGGAGAGAAATGTCCTAAAACTGCATTGTGCTGATGGCTGTGATCACAGGTTTACTAAAAATCACTGAATTACACACTGAAAATGGGTGAGATTTATGGTATATAAATTATATCTTAATAATCTGGGTTTTTTTAATAAGTCAGAGGTGTACACAGTATGAACACTCACATTGTAGACGTATTGTGTGCGTGTGTGTGTGTGTGTGTGTTTCCTCCTCATAACCACGACCCTCTGCAGAGGTAGCCACTGTCTTCAGCTTGATGGGAATCTTCTCTGGCTTTTCCTCAAGGATTACATACACACACATGTACCTGCAGAGAGGGCGTGTGTGGTCTGTGGCCGTCACATACATGAGATTTTGTGGTATTTGTCTGCATCATGCTCTGCTCCAAGCCCAGGAGACACAGCTCCATCAGCTGCTTTAGGGCTGCATTTCATCCCAGAACGGAAGAGCTATGGTGCCCGTGTTATGCACACAGGTGGTTCCCATAACATCGGTAAACCAACCAACCCCCCCGTGGTGGACACGTAGTTGGTTTCCAATTTTAGTATTACAGACAGAGCTGCAATGAGCACCCTCCACGTCCTCAACTATGCGGAACCACTAGATGGAAGGCGTCCTGCCACGCTGCCAGTCCCGTGGCCCCGACAACTGCACCAAAGCCCAGTAAGGAGCCTCTAACTGCCGCTGCTCCAGCCATCCGCAATCGTCCAGTCCAGCCAAGGCCTGGAGCAAACCATGCTCCACGATCCTGGCACGCCCGGCTGGGCTAAGCACACAGACCCCGGTCAGCAGCCGCCCCTGACGCTCACCAACCACGAGAGGGGTCTGAGCGCACAGGCCCCGGTCAGCAGCTGCCTGACACTCACCAACCACGAGAGGGGTCTGAGCGCACAGGCCCTGGTCAGCAGCCACCCCTGACGCTCACCAACCACGAGAGGGGTCTGAGCGCACAGGCCCCGCTGTGTCACCCGCTTGAAGGGAAGGAATTCAGGCAGAGGGCCCGGGGGAAGGGGGCCCAGCCAGGACACTACCTCGTCGTCCTTCCATTCCGAGAAGTCGATCTTGAAGGAGGGCAGGGAGAACTGTTGGCTCACGCCCCGCTTGTAGTGGACGGTCTCGGACTGCAGGGCTGGGCTCTTGGCGCTGTAGCTGAAGAAGCAGCAAGAAAGGACGGTGAGACAAACACTCTGTCTCACCCCGTCCCCCCCCCAGCGCACAGGAACTGAAACGTGGCTGGCAGCCACCAGCCTCTTGGGGGACCCAGGAGAAACCTGACTGGCAGGTCCCCACCACGCAAGCCCCAGCCCCTCTCTGGTGGGGCAGAGGCCAGCCTGCATGGCCACGTGTCCCTCGCAGCACCGGCTCTGACCCAGCGGGGCCTTCCAGAGCCCACACCTACCCAACAGCTATTATCCTTCCAGATTTGGCTACACTTTTCCCTTTGGTCTTTATGGTTTGCTGACTTTTTTGAATAAATATGACACCAAAATGCACACAGTAAAGGGACCCCCACTCCCTGCCCTCAGGCCTGCTCCAAGCCACCTGCTTCTCTGCGCTGTCCGCAACTCACACATCACTGCCGGGGAAGCCAAGGCTAACCATGCCTGTGTGCGCTGGTGTCTCTTCTTTAATATTCAAACAGCAGTCCACCTACACTCTGCCCTTCACTATGCGGCACCCAGAGCCGTCCCAGAATCACCGCAGGTGAGGTGCCGTGTTCTAGGACACTGTGTGGACTCCCACAGCTTTACTCTGAGTGATTCAGTCAGGCCCCCATCAGTGGACACCTGGTGGTCTCCGACATCTTGCTATTCCAAACAAAGCTTCCGGAACCCTCTTCTACACACCTTAGCCGCGCATGCAAGCATATCCCCAAGGTAAATCCCCAGGAAAGGAAGGGCTGGGTCCAGCAGCGCCCAAATGTTTAATCCTGATAAACTCTGGCATCTCCCTATGCCGGAATCCAACACATGACCCTTACCCGCCCCCCTCCACCCTACACACACCTGCTACCCTTGGGGCCTCCCTCAGTCTCTGGGACAAAGGATGCTCTCGAGGGCCCTGGCATGTCTGGCCTGAGACTGGCACTAAGGGAGGGGCTGCTGGCACACGAACTCAAAAGCCCAAGTTCTCAGCCACCGCCCCACTCTCCAGACCAAATCTGGCCTCCAAGGGGTTTTCTCCAACAGGACGGAAGCGGGCACATTTCTGCTCATTCTGCCCAGGTCTGGCCTAGCAGCCTGGAGGCAGCCCTGTTGTGGTCCTCCTGAAGTTGCAGACTTCCAACTTTGGGGGCCAGCATGGCCTTCATTTCAAATAAAATCCCCGAAAGCTCAAACACAATGTACAGACAGAAGCAGAACTGCTGGGCCAGCCTGCCACCCCTACTCTGCCAGGCCCCAGGGGACTCACACAGCTGTCCCATTCAGGAACTCCTCCACCGCCTGGCAGTAGATGGTGATGGCCACCCGGGCATCGGCATCAAAGGTGAACTCCAGGCTGTAGAGAACTCGGGGCTTCTCGCTGTCATCAGTGGGGCTGTCAGCACCATCTTTGTACCTGCCGAGGACGCATAGGGACAGGGGCAGGTCAGGGGCCACGTCTGCGAGGGCATCCCCATCCTGCACCACACACACCACCCCCGCCGAGGGGCCCCCAGAGTCAACTCCTGGCTGTGTCCCACCTTTCTAGGAATGCAGGGCTGTTTCCTGTTTAGACAATAAGGCTCAACAACGCAGGGTCCTCCCTCCCTTGCCTCCTGCCCACAGGAAGGGAGATGAGTCCTTGGTTTAGAGGCAGCCCCAGATGCTGCAGGTCTTCCAAGTTTAAAGTAGTTCCTAACCCACTGACATTCAGGGCTGGACCATTCTTGGCTGTGGGGGTGTCCTGTGCCCTACAGGGTGCTTGCTCAGCAGCACCCCTGGTCTCTGCTCCCCAGATGCCAGTGGCACAAGTCCCCAGCTGGGAAAACCAAGACTGTCTCCAGATACAGCCCATGGCCCTGGGGCACAGGTGCCTGGCTGAGACCCTGGCTTAAGGGTTGGACCTCCACAGGCGAATCCTGCTGGCCCCTCCCTTTCCTACCCTCATGCAGGGGCAGCTCTGGGAGGTGAGTCTTGACTCTACACACGGGGGGTGGGGGTGGGGGTCACTCAGCACCTCTCCTCCCAAGCATCAGGGCCCTGGGGCACAGCGCCCCACAGGGTGGGGTGAAGGGTTACCTGACGAGACGGACGGAGTCTTTGCGCACGTTCACCAGGCTCCTCAGCGTCTTCACCGGCTCATGGGGGGCAGGGGTGACGTAAGGAAACTAGGAGAGAAACAGCAACTCCAGGTAACCCCCAGGGCATGGCGGGGGAGAGAACACATGGCTTAATCAGAACAACGGTCACAACCCTGCCTGGTACTGCTGGGCCCTCACACTGACCACAGGACGGCACTATCCTCATCTACCTCGAAGAAGCCACAGACAACCTGGCCAGCACGTGGGGGAGCCGGGACCAGAAGTGCCCTAAAGGGTTCCGGCCATGTGGCCACGGTCCCCCAATTCCAGCAAGGACCCCTCGCTAATGTCCTGTGGCTCGAGGGTCCCTGGCAGCAGTGGTCAGGGTTCGGGCTCTCAGGCCACGTTCCTGCCGTCCCACTGCTGCTCTGAACAAGGTGGACCCTCCACACAAGGAAGATGGTCAGCACAGATTCTGGAAGGGATACGAGCATGCACACGCACACGCACACACACAGGTGCTGTAAAGCTGGTGGCATGTGCGAAGCGTGTGCACATCGTGACAACGCACTGAGACACTGAGTCTCACGAACCGCTGTCGCTGGGAAGTTGGGTAAAGGGCACACACATGGAGTCTCTCTGCATCACTTCTTACAACTGCAGGAGACTCTATGATGGTCTCAAGGTGAAAGTTACACAAGATGACAGGTTTACAGGAGACCTGCACGAGCCAGGCACTGGGCTGGAGCTGAGGTTACGAAGACGTGGAAGGCGAGGTTCTGCTCTTGCTCTCATAGACTTGGGAGGGTGGGCAGCTCAGCACAACGAGGAGGCCCCACTGACCCCAAGGGTGGGAGCGGCCAGCACTCGGCCTTAGGCCCCTCGCCTCCCATCGGTTAAAGGATCAGAACTTCATGTCAACCAGCTGCTCCACGGCTAAAACAGCCTAGAGACCACCCATCCCCCACCAGGCCCAGGGACTCCCCTGGACTCGGCAGCCTCAGCAGACAGGGTCCAGTGTCTCCTGAGAGGGCCTCCCACCTGGCCCCTTGCTCATACTGAGGACCATCACCTCAAGATATAAAACCCAATCCCTGCTCAGCAACCCCGATGGGCCCTCACCTCTCTCCTTCCCTAGTCTCCATCCATCAAACATTTCCTTCTTTTTTTTTTAAACTTTTATTTAATTTTGGGGGGCATTCATGGCTTTTTTTAAATTTACCGTTCTCTTCTTTATTGTCTGAAACCCCTCACACTAAACAGGGCAGAGTCTGTCCTCTGTCCCCAGTCCCTGAAAGAGTCCTAGGCACACAGCAGGTGCCAAATGTGTGCTGAACGAACAGACAGCAGTGTACGAAGTGCACATCTCAGCCATCCAGCCTCCCAGGGGGCAGTGCCAGGGGCAGGCCTCTCAGAGGGGCACGCCTCAGGCACACGTCCCACACAGACGTCTGGCTGGCACCTCTGCCTCATTTGGGGTGACTCGGGGCCTGCTCGCCACCAGGGGCCTTGTTACCACCGCCAGGGGCCTCGTCACTACTGCCCACGTGCCCAGCCCCGCAGAGACCCACCTGGACCGGGCGACTGCCCAGGAAGTTCAGATCCATGTTCTCGCCAAAGAGATAACCTTCAGGGTGGGGAGTGTCAAATTTCTCACCTCCCATGAAAAAGTGCGAGGCGAAGTAGTTTCCTGGTTAAAAGGAAACACGGCTGTAGATGACGGGGCTCAACACAGCCCAGTGGGAGTGTCTCACAGCGGAGAAGCTCAGCCCTGAGAAATGCCGGCTCCAGGCACCAGCCTCAGCCTTTCCACCCAGCCCACCCCACCTCTGCACCCATCCCCACCCACCCCTCTCCTGGGCCACTCCTCCCTCCTGCTGGACACATCCAGCACCCCCCTTCAACATCACTTCCATCTGCAGCAGGTTGAACTGTGCCCCCTACAAGGACATGGCCCCATCCTAACCCCTGGTACCTGTGCACATGACCTTATTTGGACACAGGGTCTTCGGAGATGTAATCAAGGTAATAGGAGGTCAGGCTGGATTGGGGGGGCGGGTACTAAATCCAGGGACCAGTGTCTCCAAGGAATAAGAGGGAGATTTGGACACAGACAGACAGGGAAGGAAGCCGTGTGCTGGCAGAGGCAGAGCCGGGAGGGACGCAGCTCCAAGGCAGGAACGCCTGGAGCCACCAGAAGCAAGGAGAGGCAGAGAACCACCCCCATAGAAGCTTTGGAGGGAACCAACTCTGTCGAAACCTTGATTCTGGACTTCTGGCCTCTAGAACTGTGAGAATAAACTCTGCCATTTTAAATCATTCAGTCCGTGGCACTCCGTTATGACAGCACAGAAAACGAATACACTTCCTCTGACCCACAGACTAAACCAGCCCTCGCATCCGAGCCCCAAGCAATGCCACAGTTTAAAACTATGTGGATGAGTTTTTACTCCATTCACATCTGATCCACTCCTCCATGAAGACTGAAGATGTATGTCCACGGCACACTTAGGTACTAAATTCTCACTTCTCATAGAAATAAATGGATACAAGGCATCAGACACAGGTCAGTTTCAAAGAACTGAGCTCACAGCCTTGCTGGGGAAATGCTGGAAGGACCACCTCTCCCAAGCTTCCTAATCTGACACCTGCCCATGGTCCGCCCTTTCTCTCTGGCACAGAGGACCCAGAAAAAGGCCAGGTGTCCACAGGACCAGGACCCTGTGAATTTTGTGGACCAGAGGGAATTCTGGGCCCTTACAGCTACAGTGGGTGCCCTGCATGGATCTGTGTGCCCTTCCTGAGAACCACAGCTCTGGTGACGGAGGACACAGCCATGGCTGCCTAAGCTGGGAGACCCAGAACCAGGAGTCCAGCCTGATGGCTCTGCCTGCAGGGAACACAGCCAGGACCTAACAGGCTAGGGCGTAACCCCAACCCACTTGTGGACCAGGAACCAGACACAGCCAACCACACTGAGAGAAAGAGAATAAAGTGGTGACTAGTTAAGTAAATATAACACCCGATTTCATGGAACATCATACAATAGCTGCTAAAGAGTGTCAACAGACCTGAAAGCCAGTATCACAGAACAATCGTTGAGCGCATTCCAAAACCTCTTTTGAAAGGTAACAGCACACACTTAACCGCATAACACGAGTTGTGAGCACGCACAGAACGGTCAAAAGGACATGCCCAGAAAGCTGCCAGGAAGTCCAGCGGGAGCGGGTGCGGCAGGGACAGAGCCCAGACGTTCTGCTTCGTGTTACACCTTTTCATTGAACAGGAACCATCGTGGTGCTCTTAATGAAAAGACTGAGATACAGGGACGCTCCGGGACTCTTCCAAAATCACCTGAGATTTGCCATGGTCCCACTGCCCACACTGAAAGCATCAGTGCATTTTAATATGATGATCGTTCCCACACTGGCCCTGGAAGGCGGGTGGGAGCAAGGCACCAGGCCTGGGGCACTGGTGGTCTCTGGACTCCAGCTGCAGTCTTGGTTGGCCCTTGGTCCACCCAACCTCGAGCCCAAATCACAGGTAGGTGAGAGATGCCTCGGCAGGAAGCTTTAAGGGGAACCCAGCTCAGAGCCACCTCATCTGCCGAGATTGACTAGGTCGTTACCACGGCACATACAGCAGGGCAGATAGGGAAAGCCCCACGCACCAGGCACTGGGTGACAAGTCGGACCGCAGCAGCATGTGAGAGAGGGTGCGTGCAAGCCCAGTGGCTGCTCAGACTGGCCAGTGAGGTCCCAACTGTTGAGCATTCGTGGTGGGGCCTGGTCCTCAGCCCTGACAGGCCCCCCACGCTGCTCCAAGACTCTGAGGTGGATCCAAAGGCTGTGGCCCTGGTCTGGAGGGAAGGCTCAGGAGAGGGCAGCTCCAGGCATGGCAGCCTGGCCGACCCTACAGGGCCTTCCGTGTGGAGATAGGCCCTTGACCCGGAAAATCCTGACCTAACCTCCTCCTGGGGGATCTTTAAGGCCAACAAATCCCCAGGGTTTTCTCCACCAGTAGAAAGTAGGTGAGGCAGCTCTCCTCCAAGAAGGCCCCCATATTCTCACCTTCTGGTACTTGTGTCTCTCGGCAGACTTCCCACACTGAATAGGACTAACCGGTGTCACCAGCAGGATACTCTGGAAATGATGGGGTGAGACTTCCAAGGCACTGGGGGAAGCCAGCTGCCATGTGGTGAGGACGCTCAAGCAGCCCTAGGGAGGGGTCCATGCAGTGACCAGCGGGGGCCCCTCGCCACCACCCAGCACTGACCTGCTGGCCCCATGAGGGAACCACCTGGGAAGCAGACCCCAGCTGACTGCAGTCCCACAACTAAGGCACTCCCAAGCTCCTGGGCCACAGAAACAATGAGATAATGAACATCAAATATAAATGGCTACACTTTGAATCTGTTACTCGCCAAGAGGTAACTATCACCACAGGCTTTGAAATCCAGTCTGGGTGACCCTCCGAGGGCTCCTGATTCTAATACTTTTTCCTGGCCACCACCCTGGTCAATGCCACCACCATCTCCTGCCTGGATTACTGCAATCCACTCCCTGGGTCTCCCCACTACCATAGCCCCAAAGTCTGTTTCCCACATCCCATTCTCATAGTTTCCTGGTGGCTTCCTAGTCACACTAGAATGAGTCCCAAACTCCTCCCTGGCCTGCGAGGCCCTAGACAGTGCAGACCCCGTTTGCCCCCAGGGTCTTTTAACATGCTGTTTCGTCTGTTTAATGAAGTTCTTCCCCAAGAGTCTGCCTGGATCCTTTGACCTCATGTTTCTATCTCAACAATCCCTTTTCTGATCATTCTTTTTAAAACTGGCAACCTCCCCCAACCTACCCCGACCCTCTTCTCTGCTTTCTTCTCCTCCACAGCTCTTCCACGACCTAACGGTGAACTATACACGGGAGGCCCCCACGTCTCAGTGCAGTCTGAAGCGTTAATAACTTCAGAGGTACAAAGGCTACAAACTAAAACCTCTGGACTAACAGGCAATGGATGAGATGTTCTCGTTTGTTTTGTCTTTAACTGTATTTTATACATTTTCTAAATTAACGTGTATTACTTTAAAACAAGAAAAATTGTTTTTAAAAGACTGAACACATGGGACAAGAATGTGTTAGGGCAGTGGTTGTGAAATCACAAAACTGGAACATATATGTTCTTGGAAAAAAAAACACTGAACTGTACATTTTAAAAGGATAAACTTTACAGTATGTGAATTATGTCTCAATAAAGCTGCTGTTAGGAGCTGGAAAGACGTAAGTTGTTAGCTGGTAAATCATCAATAATATTTTTCTGGTATTAGATCTTTATGTGATTTTTTTTTGGCAAATAATTTGGAATTGGATGCTATTGCTAAATCAAACATGTTAATTCTCATCTACTTGATTCATGTGAAAAAGTTTCTCAAGTTAAAATGAAAAACGGAACCAGAATTGATGCTGACCTGTCTCATTCCAGCAAACAGGCTCTATTCAGCTGTGACTACATGAATTAACTGCGGGGAAAGCAGCCCATCCACTCACGTCAGATGTATGTTCAGTGATTTTCAGTATTTATGTTTGTCACTTATGAAAACTGTAATATTTGTTATGTTTTGACCAACTGGGTATTTGTAATGGCCATGCAAACCAGAAGAAAAATTCTCACTCTTAAGATTCTAATTTTAATTTATGTATATATTTTGGTTGCAGACACACAATATGCCGATCAATACAAGACTTTCCAGCATAGAAAGATGGAAACACCTCACACGTTCCTCGATAAACAAAGGGACAAACAGAGCGTGGCAGTGACGAGACGGGACCACACACCAGTTAAAGGAGCGGGCCGGGTCTCCGCACATCAGCGCGGAGCAGACACAGAAGGAACACGACTCAGACGTGGAGGACGTGAGAACTTAGCACAAGGCAGCCCCGCAGCGCAGACGGTGGGACACCCACATGTGGGGAAGGAAGAAACAAACGCGGAAGGATGTGCCCACATCCACAATATGAAAAATGCTAACCGTGGACGCTGAGTGGAGGGCGTTCCCTGTATTACTCTCTGTACCTTCTGGTATGTTTTTTCTAAAGGAAGAACACATGCATCCAAGGGACTGGAGCAGCTCGCAGGTGTGTACCTGTATACGTGTGTGAGTACGCGTATGCACGTGTACGTCTGTGTGGTCTGTGTGTGTGGTGTGTCCGTAGGTGTGTTGCACACACATGTGCTTGTGTGCGCACGTGTGTCTTGCACGTGCGTGGTGTGTGTGCTCATATATGTGCATCTATATGTGTGAACAATCTTGGACCAAGACGGGCTACAAAGAAGGAGGAAACAGAAAGACAAGACAACGGGGCGGCGGGGGGGCAACGACAAAAAAGTAAGACAGGAGACAGAAAGAGAGGAGACACCAAGCCCACAGCCCCCAGGGGTCTTCCTCCATGCCCCCGAGTCAGCGCCCCAGCCCAATTTCCCCATGGAACCCACTGAGGGGGGACAGATCCGGCCCCACTTTCCATGCAGGAAACTGAGCTCAGAGGTCACAAAGCTAGTGATGAAGCCATGGCTCAAACCTGTTCTCCACCAAAACATCAGCTACGCACGCACCCAGAATTTTATTAAAACCCAAGTTTATCAGGAGACCAGAGTCTGGGACCCTGCTATAGAGTGAATGATTGTGTTCCTGCCAGC